GCTGAGGATATGTCGGCCAGTTTCCACTGGAAATGCCTTTTGGTTAAACTGTCAGCGAGGAATTTGCATTTGATACGTACTGTGCAAGGTAACTTTGTGTAACTTTAATGCAGATAACAAACAGCTGCTTGTTTCAGTGAAAATACTTTGATGTTTTTTTGCACTAATAAAGTTGTGGAGTTGTAAAGCATTTTGTCTCGTGTCAGTTATATCGTTATCACACGTTTTCTCATGTATATGTTGATAAATATTTTGGTCATGTCGGCCTGCTCCACACTGAGGTTTACCGTGTACAGTCCTGATATGTCACACGTGTATCCTGGGATAAGCTTGTAGCGCCGCTGCAGTACAGAGAGGATTAGACACACAGGACGCCCGGAAATCTCGCCCATCCATCACAGAGCTTTCAGAAACGCCCCAGGAGCCACAAAATGCACACACATGCATACAGCCAAGTCTCATTTGAAATGGGTGTAACATGTACCACGGGCTGATAACTGAATATTGAGTGAATAAAACAAAGCCAAAAACAACCAACATAGTTACAACTGCACGATGCAGCTTCTTAGTTCTTGCACATGAAGGTTGAAAGGCTCATGTGAAGACTGAAGGCTGACACACAGCGTTCAAACAAAGGAAAACAGGATTCCCACAAACGCGCCTTATTTGGTGAGGCAGCTGACAGAGCTCGGGAACAGGCCACCACAAAGGCCGTACAAACATTTGTTCTTCTTGATAATGTGTGAATCCTCATCAAGCCGACACCCTGAAATACCAAGAAAATGGATCAAACAGACCTGCTGGTTGAGGCTTGCAGCTGCCTGACAGAAAAACACAGGAAGAGGGAAAGAGGAGGACAAAAATGTGGAGAGTGATAAATTACCAATCCTGCAAAGAAATAAACGCTGGACAGAGACGTTTGTTCCACTGAAGATAACTGAGAAATCAGCTGAGAAATCAGCTGAGAAAGCTCCAAAATGACACCCGATGAACTGGTCTGCACTTCACGCTCATGTTTTCCTGGAGCTTTCCCGTGTGTCATAGCAACCAAACCACCTGCAGCATACAAATACCACAAAATTCAAACTCGCTCCAAATTATAAAAGCTGACCTTTTCCGAGGCGGCGTCGGAGAGCGAGAGAGACAGACACGGGAATTTGTGCAGTCCTACCAGGCACGGCGCTCAGCCAAACCTGTGGCTGCCGTAAACAACAGGAGTGGTTGTGAAAGGAGTCGGTAAAGGAGGGAGCGGCACTCGGAGCACGAGAGCAGAGGTGAAATATTCAGAGTGACCCTGGATGCTTGAGTGTCAGCGAGCTGCTGCTGTTGGGTCATGGATGCAGAAGCAGCTCAGCTGAAGGCGCCCTGAAGCTACACGACCGTCCTCCCCGTGATGACGGTTTCACTGCAGAGCGAGAACAACTGTAGTGTTGGCCCAAGTGTCCCAGCTTTGATTGGCAGCAATTATAACCTCAAAGATGATTGGTAGCTGTGAAGGAGCAGAGCGTGCTGCAGGTGCAGTGCTGGTGCGACTGCACCGAGCTCAGAGAAGCTCCCCCAGCTGCAGCCTCCTCCTACACGTACCTATGGAGACTTCTAGAAACCTGGAGCAGCTGGTTGGATCACTAAGGCTACCTTCACACTGCAGGCGAAAGCGCATCAATCCGACTTTTCTGACCCTCTGCGACCCGTATACGATCATGGTGTGACAGTGTGAACGGCACAAACCGATCTGGGTCACTCGTCTGTGGTGCTGAAGCCGACACATCTGTAGAGCTGCTACTCTGGTGCTACTTCATCTATTGGCCGACTACAGCTGGTTCAAAATGCAAGGCGAGAGCACACACCCCCTCTACTCGCCTCAGCAGTGTTCAAATTGATTTTAAGATCTTGACACTTGTTTGTAAAACCTTGCATGGACCAGCTCCTCTATATCTTTCTGATCTTTTAATTTGTTTACTGCGGCGAGATGTTTGAGGTCTGTGGACCGAATGCTTCTAGTTGCCCCGGGTCCAGATTAAAACGCAGAGATCGGGCTTTTGCTCCGAAACTGTGGAATAAACTGCCTTTACATATCAGGACCTCTCAACACTGGATACTTGAAACTCGTTTAAAGACCCATTTTTACTCTGTGTGAGTCTGTCATTATTTTATCTTTTATTTTACTTTCCTTTTAAATGTTATCAGATTATTTTATTGTACAGTTCTTTGGTCAACAGTTGTTGTTTTTAAAAGTGCTATAAATACAATTGATCTGATTGATTTTTAATTCAG